CGGCAGGTCTCGAACCTGCGGGCTCAGGCAATCCACTCACCTCAGCCTCCCAAAGGCACGGGATTACAGGCTGAGCCACCGAGCGTGGCCATACATTTTAAGAAAGGAAGAAACTATTAAAATTGTAATACCCAATAAGATGAATGCAAGTCACGTTTGACTTTAAGTGCAATTACAAGAGGTGCTCAAAGTGGTTACCGTCAGCATCCAGACACTTCTGATTATGACAAACATCTCTTTACAGCTCTTAAAATTTGTATACATTTTTTGGCACCCTTGGTATATATGTGTGTGTTTGTGTGTGTACATATGTGTGTCTATATAAGTATACACACACACACGCTTATTTGGATCTCTAAGGTGAAACAGTCCAAGGTCAAATACTGGAAGACAGAATGTGTTTTGATCTTGTAGCAAGTGATCCTGATTATGCACAGAGGTTCTTCAAAGTCTAGTTACATCACCTGTATTATCTTGGCTTCGGTTTTCTAACAATGTAATGGATAATATCAAATATTTAGTTTTTACAAATGTATTCTCAAATGCTTTGTGGACTGGAAAATACTTGAAAACTTTAGAAGACACTCAAATTCTTAGACTGTCTAGCTAGCATTTATTCTATCGTAGTGGCCATTGTCTCAATGATTAACACTGGGGTAGCTTGAATTTAAGTAATTCTTAGTGGACTCAGCATATCGATTTCTCAACAGATAAGAATGAATGCTTGTTTACAAAGAAATATAAGTAATGTTTCTGTATATACTTTTTTCAGTTTTGACTCAAGGTATTTTTCAAAGCATAGTAGCAAATGGGCCACATTTGTGAAACAAGGATACTTTTCACAGTACACTGGAATGATTGCTACAAACTTCATAGTAAATCCAGTTTAAGGATAAACTCCCCGATTTTCTTACCTATGATTATATTTTTAGGAAAAAGACTGGCTAAAATTGTTTTAACTGTTGTAAATTATTTCTGTTTGCATATATTACTAAGTAATGATTTTTTTGTAACCTTTTACTCTTTTTTTATTTTCGAGCCAGAGTCTCACTGTTGCCCAGGCTGGAGTGCAGTGGCGTGCTCTCGGTCACCGCAGCCTTGACCTGTTTGGGCTCAGGTGATCCTTCCGCCTCAGCCTGGAACTACAGGCACATGCCACAATGCCTGGGTAATTTTTTGATTTATTGTAGAGATGAGGTCTTGCCAAGTTGCCCAGGCTAGTATCGAACCCATGGGCTCAAACAATCCTCTCGCCTCCACCTCCTAAGCCATTTACTCTTAATAAACAATATTTGATAATAGTTTGATATGATTTGTGCCATAACGGATTTTGTTTTCAGGACTTCAAATATAGTTTCATGGGCAGAGAATATGTTATTGAATGCAGGCAGTGGTTCTCAAACTAGCATACATCAGAATCACCTGGACAATTTAATAAAAAACAGATTGCTGGGCACCCCTCTGCCTCAAATATGTATTTAGTATGCATTGTATATATGAATGTTATCAACAGGGCCTGCCTTTGGAGAAATAGAGAAGAAATACCAAGAGCACTAACTCAATTACCATTTTAACTTTGCCACCTCCCCCAGATTTTTGCAGGCAAACTTCTTGAGCCCTAACTTGTAATACTTCTAACTTTACTTCAAAGATCTTGGGTCAGAACTTGACTCTAAATATTCCATACCAGGTAGGTGACTGATTCATCTGAGAACTCTGAGGCATGGTTATCCTCTCTGTCTAGCAGTTACAGGAGAGTTAGTGGCAGATCATCTCTCCTAAGGGACAGGATATGGCCAGATAAAATGAACCAGGAAAATCAAGTGAAGGATAATGAAATGCAGACACCGGTGACTGCTGTTGCTGTACAATTAATTTGGTAGATGGAAAAGGCAGTGCACTTATTCTCTCCCATCTCTTCTTTCTAATGAAATGCATGGAGCACACTTTCTCGTTGTTTCAGCTAGAGGTGTGTTGCTATCCCTGCGTTTGGTAAAGAGAGATAATGATGATTTGTTTTGTAAAGGACAAAGACTGCTCTCTGCTGCTTAACCAGCAGAGCCGGGAGGATGGACTAGGACCTGCTCTCTCCTTTCCCGAAGAATAACTCCTCATGTTGTGCCCAGGGCAAGTTTCACGTACCTGGATATAGTTCTGATTCCACAGGAAGTTTATGTTCTCTATTGCTGTGAATGAGGGGAACATACATATGTTGTGTGTTTTATTTTTATTTCTTAGGAGAAGACTGATGTGGAAGGAACCTTATTTGTTTACACAAGGTAAGAGTATTTTACTTTTATAAACAAACTGACAATCTTTGACATAATATTTTAGCTCAGTTGTGTCATTCATCTTCAATACAGTTTTAGTTCACAGAGAAGTAAAAGAACTAAATCTTAGTTTGAAATTATTAGTTGACATGAGGAAGGGAATACTGAGTAATGTCACCAGGTATGTTCTGAAGAATACTAATTTCAGAATATAATTTAAACTTCAATATAGATAAACTTAAATCTCTGTGCTGTTTAAAATAGTATTAAATACTTCTCCTTTGATTCAAATGACTGGCCAAATATAATGAATGTAATGCATTGGCAAGGAGTACTGAACATTGGCAAGACCGCTGAGGAATATTAGATTATTTAATCAATATTTGGAAAAGGGTTTTATTGATCACTCTTCCTCCACCCTTGACTGTTTAAAAAAGGAAAATCTGAAATTGAAGATGTTTTTCAGTCCTCCATTGTCTAGTTAACAGAATATGTTTCAGGATAGATTTAATAAACTCATGTTTTTAGTCATTTCTTTTTATCAGGTATTATTAACATTACAAGTGCTTACAGAGACATACCGTATGTATACTGATGCAATAGATAAGCTTTTTATTCACATAAACATTCATGTGAAATGTCATAGCTGAAGCCTGTCACCTTCAGTTAGGGTGCAAAGATGAAATCCAAAGGCCTGATACAAACCATTCTAAGGGTAACAGTTTCACTGGGGAGACAAAACACATACACAGACACACACACACACACACACACACACACACACAAGCATATATATTTTTACACATATTTTCACATTTTAGATAGACCGCAATACAGGATAGGCTGTTCTAAGTGCCAGTGGATAGGTCATAAGCAGCGAATGGGCTGCTGTGATTATGGAAGTCTTTGTGGAGTGATGGGTCTTGAGCTGGGCCTCAGGAGCAAGGTAGAGTTTAACCTGTATAGAGGAGAGGAAAGGGTGCTCTCGACAGGAAAAACAGCAGAGCAGAGGCATAGAACCTGGTGTGTTTTAACCAGTTAAGGAAAATGACTTTGGTGCAGAGGGTTCCTATTAGTTAGCAAAGGTAAAGAGATTTGCTGGCTTGGAAGAGCAGACGAAGGATCTTGAGATTTGTTTTCTTAGCAATAGGGAGTCCTTGAAGGCTTATGAACAGGAGAGTAATAGAGTTATGAGAAAATGTATGGGAAAGTCAGTATTAGCATTAGGGGATGCATTGGTTCTAGAAGAGACTGGAGTTAGGGTGACATTGAGAAGATTATTGCAGTGGAGTAGACATGAGATGATGAGAATTTGGACTAGAATGATAGAAATAGAAATGGAAAGGCCATTTGCAAGACTATGTGTAGAGGAATGGTGAAGTTAAAAAATAACATTAATGTTTTGAACATGGAAACTGAGAATTACAAAAGCATTGGTGGCATAGAAAGATAGGAGATCAAGAATCTGGCTTAAGAATATGTCTTGTTTTATTTTGAAGCAGTGATTTTGGTAGCAGGTCACTCAGGTGGAGGTATCCAGATGCTCGGGATAAGGGCAGGCCTAGAGAGAGAGAGTTGAGAGTTGTCTGAAGTAATTTGGGAGTTTAACCCATGAGACAAAACACATTCTCTGAAGGAGTGAGTATAAAGAGGAGACTGATGAGGGCTAATGGTTGGGCTTTAGAGTCAGCAAGGATACACAGAAGAGTCAGCTGGAAGGGGAAAAGCAGGACTAGAATGGAACAGAGAGGCCCGTGGACACAGCACAAACACACTGAGGGTCTGGGGGGCGGAGCAGACATGAGGGAGGCCAACCCTGGGAAGGCAGGTCTGTTTCAGTGCAGGCAGCAGTGGAAGTGGGAAGAAACAGAGGCCAGGCCAGTGGACTCTGTGAAGAGGAAGTCAGGTTCTTCAGTCTCAAAAAAGCAGTGGGAATGCCCAAAAAGCATTGGCATGTTAGTCTATATTGTGTTCCCAGACACCCACAGCACCAGAGGATGTCGCCAGGTGAGTTCATTCAGGGATGTATGAGGACTTGGAGGTGTCAAGAGAAAGCCAAACAATGGAACCCTACTGTGTGCCATACACACAGGATGCATTCTCATTCATTTCTCACAAGAATTATTACTCTTTTTGATTTTTATTTATTTTTTTGTAAATGGTGAAGGGGTCTTGCTATGTTGTCTAGGCTGGTCTCGAACTGCTGGGCTCAACCAATCCTCCTGCCTTGGCCCCCCAGAGTGCTGGGATTACAGGGATGAGCCACCATACCTGGCCATTTTTACTCTTTTGAGACATGAAAGAAAAGGTGTATTAATATGTATTAATTATTGATTTTAGGAATTTTTAATGATATTTTTAAAATACAGAAGAGTAACAAATTATATAAATATTTTCTTTTTTTTTTTTGAGTTGGCATCTCACTCTGTCGCCCAGACTGGAATGCAGTGGCCGCTCCCGGCCACCGCAGCCTCGACCCGTTGGGTTCCGGTGATCCTTCCGCCTCAGCCTTCCGAGTAGCCGGAATGACAGGCACGCGCTACCATGCCCAGCTGATTTTTTTATTTATTGTAGAGATGAGGTCTTGCCAAGTTACCCAGGCGGGTCTCGAACCCGTGGACTCAGGCCATCCACTCACCTCAGCCTCCCAAGGCGCAGTATTACAGGCTGAGCCACCGAGCCTGGCTAATATTTTCTTTTTCATACTCAAACTAAATGTACGTTTGTATGTTCAAATACTTCTTAATAATACTTCAAGTCTCTAATGGCGCTGTTACTAAACAAACTATTATATTGAGAAAAAAAATCTTTCCCTGTCTCTTAATCTGTTTCCCAAATCTAACTTCTCAAGAATAAGGTGGTTCTCCCACTCCCCTGTGAAAAAAATAAAACAAAAACTAGAAAGCACACTCCACCAGATTCCAGCACATTGAGATCTTTCCTCAGTAGGGAATGACAAAGCACATAACAATCAAAAGGGAATCTTGGGTACAACTAGTGGAGCTGACAGTGATGTATTATGATTTCTCTTATAAGAGTTGCTTTAGCGCAATTGGCATATTTATCCCATTTTCTAAATTATGAGGTTGTATCATACCCATGTTATCAAAGAGGTGAGATTGTGTTGTGATACTAAAACACATGAATCAAATTCTGATTCTTGTATAAAAACAATCTCATTTTAAAAATCATTTCTTTATTTCTTCCGATGTCGTCTTCCTTTCTGTAATAGAGAGACACCCACTGGTGATTTCTGAACTTGACACTTCCAGAAGACCCTCTCACAGAGCTCTTAGGGAGTACATTTTCATTCTTCCTCTGAATTTAGGTGGAAGTAATTATCATAATTATTTCTGGTACTGATGATATGCCTACTACCACTTTACCTTTTTGTAACATAAGCTAGGCAAGGATTGCCTTCCATCCATTTTAAAATTGGAGGTTTCAAAAGAAAATCCTGTCAGTGGTAACATAGCTGTATTTAACTTCTTTATCAACATCAAATAGAAGGAAAATAAAAGTGAGATATTAACACCATTTCTTCCTGTTGCTCATAACCTTTCTGAGGGTTTGTTAATAACAACCCTAGCACCCTAGTTTAAAGCAAATAAATGAATTCTGCTTGCTTCAACTTGAGTGTGTAATGTATGGTGTTTCATTTATCACCAGAAGTTGCGCAGTTGAATTACTATATGGCTGTCACCCAAGGCTAGACAAATGCACACGTAGTTGTTAGAGTTCATACTCTGTATAATTCAGGTTCTTTCTGCCTAGCAGAATAGACATTCAGGGTTTATTGAATGAATTGAAAATAAGTCTCTAAATGCCACATTTTCAAGGGGAAAACCTTTTATAGTAGATTAATCCATGAAACTATAAATGCTTTATATTGAAGAAAATAAAATACTTGTCCTTTGCACTATTGCAGAAACTTTTAGTTTATGCTTAGCTCCTCATAAGTTCATCGATCAGAGTTGCCTCATTTCTCTTAAGAGATTTTGCAGCTCTCAGTTTCAGGCCGACATTAACATGTTGTATGAAAGTTTTCTTTGTACAATTGCGAAGTACACTCTATATTAATTACCAAGATTCTTTAAAAGTATCTTTAATTAATTAAATTAATTATTTAAAAGTATTATTTAAAAGTCAGTAACTGGGCTCGGTGGCTCAGCCTGTAATCCCGTGCCTTTGGGAGGCCGAGGTGAGTGAATTGCCTGAGACCACGGGTTTGAGACCCACCTGGGCAACTTGGCAAGACCTCATCTCTACAGTAAATCAAAAAATTGGCCGGGTGTGGTAGCACGCGCCTGTAGTTCCAGCTACTTGGAAGGGTGAGGCGTAAGGATCGCCAGAGCCCAGCAGGTCGAAGCTGCGGTGGCCGGGAGCGGCCACTGCACTCCAGTCTGGGCGACAGAGTGAGACTCCAACTCAAAAAAAGTAAAAATAAAAATAATAAAAAGTCAGTAATGTTTTAAAAGGTAGTTACCATCTTTGTCTAAAAAAAGAATTTACAACGTAGGTAGGGAAACAAGATATGTATATACACACAAACAGTTTAAAGAAGTATGACTCAACTTCACCAGAAGAATTATGACTATCATGCTGTATTGCATATGAATTAATATATAAGAACACCAGTGGTAAAGAAATAATTTGTTTGTATGCAATCTGCTTGTCTAAAACTGTATACAATACAAAAAGGTTAGGAGACACATCAGAAGGTAGTTATACTGAAAAGGTAGTATACTGAGCAACTTGTCTGTTAATTTTTCCCTGACCCCTGTGATTTTTAGATCTGCTTCTCCAAAGCACGGATTCACCATTATGAATAGGCTGAGCATGGAAAATAGGACTGAACCCATTACTAAAGACCTGGATTTCCAGCTCCAGGACCCTTTCCTTCTCTACAGGAATGCCAGATGTGAGTCTTTCTTACTACGCTGGGTAGTTTTACTTCTGAAGTTTGGCCAAGTGTTTAAAATTGTACAGTGTATGCCACTGTGTTTGCGTTTAGTGTCAGTGACTCTAGGGGTCAGCATTTGTTAGCTTGGAAAATGCGTGCCTAATTGAGGGAATGGCTTCTTCCTTGAAAAAGTTTAAGTGAATGTGAAGATGATGATATGTCTTTAAACCCTGTCTTCCACAGCTTTCCTAGTCTGTAAACCCATCATTGATCTTAAGACTGAGCAGGGATGGGTGAGGTAAATTCTTGATTAGGAGACTACAGAGGGACACATAGGTGGTGCCACCGAACATAAAATTAATGATCTGCTATATTCCTTATATGCCACTTCTGGCAAAGCATACTAATAAGATATCTGAGGGAGAAGGCCCATATTCTAGAAGTACCATCGTCTGAATGCATGGTAAATGAAAAATCAAAGTCTAAAATGTTCCTTTTATCCATAAAGTATTTCATAATAGTCATTATAATGTTGAGGTTTTAGTAAGTAACTAAATAAATGGTCCTTTCAGATTTGAAATGAGGTGGTGGTCACTTGTCTAATATTCTATCTCCATTTTGCTCCCATCTTTTCTGACCACTCTGTTGGACTGTTGGATAGTCCAGAGTCTGATGAAAATATGCCAATTTCAGGGGTATCTCCATATTCAGAAAACAACAGCATACTACTCAGTATATAAATAGTTGTGTATGTATGTGTTTGTGTGTGTGTGTGTGTGTGTGTGTGTGTGTGTGTGTGTGTGTGTGTACGCACATGTACGTGCACTTGTGCCCTGTGAGCAGCTTTCTTTTTTTTTAGTTGGAGTGTCATTCTATCTCCCAGGCTGGAGTACAGTGGTACACTCACGGCCACTCCAGTGTCAACTTGCTGGGCTCAGGTGATCCTTCCACCCCAGCCTTCCAAGTAGCCAGAACTACTGGCACACACTACCACACCCGGCTAATTTTTTTTTTTTTTTAATTGTAGAGATGAGATCTTGCCAAGTTGCCCAGGCTATTCTCAAACCTGTGGGCTCAGGCATTCCCGTCACCTCAGCCTCCCAAAGTGTTGGGATTACAGGCTTGAGCCACTGCATCCAGCTGTGGACAGCTTTCAAAAAGACCTTGTAGTTAAGAAATGTTTTCTATACATTTTTCATCCTACTCTTTGAGCTCAAGATAAAAGAATTTGCTTACAGTTTACTATTAGGTGTAATTTTAATAAGGAATGTAATGCAAAGAATATTTGACATTTTGACCACAATGAATTGTTTTGAAGTCAATATAGCATCATTTTAATACACTAAATATGATGCTATATTTATTTATAATTAAATTTGCTTACAGTTAAGTTGTCATGAAAAGTGGTCAGCCTATTTAGAGATTACAGTTAAATTTTTATGAACAAAAATTAAATCTGTTAAAACTAATGTGACGTACTAATGATAGATCATGATGGTGAAATGAAAAATTTTATAATTTAGAGAAATACTCTGTTTTGTAGTCCTATTTCTTTGTTGGAAGGTATGCTTTACCAGTTGTAGCTTACAGTTTGAATTGTTTGTGCTTATAGTTATGTCAGGTTTTATTTTCTTTTTTGAGAGAGTTAGTTTATCAAATTAATAGATAATTCAAATTCTAATAGACAAAATAACTGCAAAAGTAAATATAGAATACATGAATATTAGTGATGTATAATAATCATTTGGATAACTACATGGCCTAGTTAGTGTAGATAATATTTTATTTTAAATTCTTATTATATATTACATATTATATCAAGTACTATACCAAAAATATAAAAATATAAGCTCTATTTAATGTATCGCATTTAAAAGTAACTTTCCTAAGTCCCACAGGGTTTATCTAATAGGAAATAGTACTTGAATCTAATAAACTTATTTTCAACCTCACCATGGTTCTAGGCATATGCTGTCCAATGTGATTGTTACTAGCCACCTGGCTAGTGAGTACTAGAAATGTGGCTAGTCTGAATTGAGCTGTACTGTGAGTGTCAAATACATACCAATTTTCAAAGACTTAGTACAAAAAGAAGAAAAATGTAAAACAAAAAACTCATTAATAATTTTATATTGATTAACATGTTGAAATGATTTTGGACATATTGGGCTAAATAAAATATAATATTTAAATTAACTTCACCTGCTTCTTTGTATTTTTTAATTTAAAATTGCATATGGGGCTCACATTTGTGGTTCACCTGATATTTCTACTGAACAGCACTGTTCTGTTTTCATCTATTTTTCTATATTTTTATTTATTTTTCCACATTAATAATCCTCTTCATTTGTTTTACCATATTTAATAATCACAACTTTGTAGAGTAGACATTTTCACTGCCATTTTGCAGATGAGAAAACTGAGATACAATGAGATGGCAGACTCCAGACAAACCCACACATTCTAATTTCAGTCTATTGCTTTTTCTGCACCACCTGTACTGCTTTCTCTGCTATTAAACATGAATGAGAATTGAAAGTAGCCTTTGGGATGCATAGTAAACTGTTTCTAATGAATTTCCATAAGAAAGAAATGAAATTCATTGAACAACAAAGAATGGAAGGGCATGGATCTTATTACTTTTCTGGATTTATTTTGCTTTCTTTTTCTCCTTAATATCTGATACTGATTGCCTTTGTAGCCGAAGTCATTTGGTCTTAGGTTATTTATTTGTAAAAGCCTTTTCAATCTGTGATATCAGAGGAGCACAGAAGGGTTTACCACAGGTGCTGTCGGAGTCTCAGATACCTCTTAAATGTTTTTATACAACTCAAATATGTTATACAATAATTGCATATGGTATAGATGTTTTTTGATGAAGTTATAGATTCGTTTATAATTCTTTGGACAAAAAAGTCAGCCTCACTCAGAATTTTTTTTTTTTTAAACTATTCCCTCAAGGTCTGTATAGTCAAGAATCTCTCTGTTTAGCCTTGGCATTTCACAATGGCCTATGTATGTCATAGGCCATATTTGGGCATTTCAAGTAGACAGAGGTAGAGTTGATACAAGGTATCTGTTAAAGTTAGGGCAAAAAAAGGGCAAAATATTCATTCATTCCTTCATTCAGCAAACATCTGCTGAACATTTATTGTCTTCCAGGCACTTATGGGTTATTTCATTTCATTCTCATAACTTTTTCTTGGCAATGCTGTTATTCCTATTTTATAAATGAGGATACGGAAGTTAAAGGGATTATGAAATATACCATGGTCCACTGCTTTGAGATGGCCCATTGGAGCCAAGACGACCTAACTTTCAGACCCCAGACCCCAGCAGTGACAGACTAGCAGTGAATAATGCGTTTGAGCAAAGTTTACCTTTTAAGATATACTTGATCTTCTTAGGGTATGCTTCAAAGTTCAAAAAGCAAGTTGTTGGTTTTTGAGAATCCAACATATTTCAGTTATTAGAGATTAGTTTTTATCAAATAAAAACTAACAAAAAGCTGAATTTGACCCGTTACTTTATATTTATATATTATGTATACTTTTTATATTTATATATACTTTATATATTCCTCTATATTAACTACTTACTGTCTTTTCCATTCCACCACTAAATAAGATTTTAGTATATACAAATGTATTTTAGAGATGTATTTTCCCAAATATAATACTTAAGATAAATTATAGATAGCAATGACAGGGAGATTTCAGAGCTAAGCCAACATGTTGAATATATTATTATCTAGGGTTACAGGATTAGGATTAAGTTCTTTTTAGATGCTTGATTTGATCGCAGACATAAGTCTAGAATTTAGACCAAGTCAGAAAAGACAAAATCAAGATATTTAGGATCAAAGTTGTTTTAGAAAACTTCCACTAAGTTTTAAAGTGAATTTAAAACTTATTGGGTGATTTTGTATTAAAAAAGAAGTAGTAATTCATCTCCTTTTTGACATCTGTAGGATTCGGGAAAAACTACTATAAATCATGGAAATGGTACCCTGAATGATCATGATAATTATGAGTAGCCCCATCTTCTAAATAGGCCATGTTCTGGAAATTCTCTTTGAAAGTGATTTGTTGGTGAACTTTTAATTAAACACAGCAGATTGAGTACACTCCTCAGTCTGCCACAGAGTTCTACTGATACTCTATTGAGATGACAATAAAGAAATAACAAAGACAAACTCAAGAGGATGAGGGTGCAGTTCATGAAAAAGATGGAATAAACAAAGAGGAAGACATGATGATAGCTGTATTGTTTACAATTATTAACTTTGCCTTTGTGTAGAAGATTATATAGCTCTGCTCTGTTGATGTCTGCATTGATAGATGATTTGGTTATTTGCCCTCTAACCCACCCTGAAGGAGGATATTATGTACTCACCCTACTGAACTCAAGTTTACTTATATGAATTGCTTTGGCCAGTGAAATGTGGCTGAAAGTGATATGTTACTTCTGGGCAGAGCATTTTAGCACTAGCTCAGGATTCACCATGCCTCTTTTCCTTCTGCCCTGATGACCAGCAGTGTTCTGCACAGAGGCTGCTTTGTCAGCCTGGGTTCTGAACTGAAGATAACATGTCACAGAGGTAAAAGTGACCCTTGATTGACATGTAACTTACAAGAAATAAGTCTTTGTTATTGTAAACCATTGAGATTTTGGAGGTCATTTATTACTGCAGCATAACTTGGCCTATTGTAATTGATACATAAACCCATCCAGGAAGAAGGAGATCCATATATATAAGCTGGAAGTAAAGGGACCCAAAATATTTATCATAATACTATAAGAAAGGGATTGGCAGTAGTGGGACACTGCCAGGGGAGGGAGGGCACAGGACATAAATAAAAGTACCCACATTTTACCTGTATGATGACCACGTATGTACCTAACCCTCATTTGTACTCCACATTTTAAAAATAAAATAATTATTTTTTTAAATGATGGAAATAAGGAGAGCAATGGTTAAGAACAGTCCAGTCTCATAATCACCCCTGGGCAACTGGAGGGGATCTATGCAACTAAAAAAAAGTCTGTTGAAATTAAAGCCAAAGGATGAAGAGCTTCAGGAAGAGTATCCAAGAAAAAATTAAAACTGATAGTTGGAATCTATTCGGACATTTACAGTCACTGTTTAAGAGAGTCTGGTACGATATAAGGAATACTGAAAACTAAGAGGAGGACAAACAAAAGAAGGCCTTTCTTAATTCCTTGGAAACAAAATATTGTACAAGAAAGAAAATATAATCATAGTACACTATGTGGCTCTAAAGATCAAAATACATAATTTAATTATAAACACAATGAAATGGTGGTATATTGAAAAGGTGATGGAATACGTGTTAGTGTGTATTTGTGTTATTGTAAGAGAACTGAATCCTCTTCAAACAATTTTAGATTCAAGAAGTAGTGTATACGTGATATATGGGAAAAGAGATTTAAATACCAGAAGAAAAGTTGGGTGACAAATAAATAGTAGAAATAGCTGTCATAGATGTAATTATGATTGCTTTTAGAGTATAGTAATCAAGAATGGAATGGCTAGAGGAGAGGTCTGCTATTTGTCATAATAAACCTCATAGTATTATTTGACTTAAAATTATGTATATATATTGTTTTGATCAAAATTAAAACTATAATTGGATATTAAATTATATTATCCCATAAAAACATATTTTAGTTGGTGACTAGGTATCTCAGTCAACTCACAAAAGCTTTTTTAGCGTGGTGTACATCTAAGAATAGCACACTAGTGTTATATTGATGTACATATGAAATACAGCACTAGCATATATAGCATTATTTCTGTAGGAAAATTTATTCAAGAGTAAAATCGTATAGACTCCAAGAGCATAACTTCCTTAGCAGCAAGGCAGAGAACTTCTAGTGCCCATTTGCATTAACAAATCATATGTAAAGCTAGGAGTTTCTTTCAGTACTGGTCCGTGACCTGGGGTTGGGGTCCCCTGTTTCTAGAGGATGACAGCTGGATAAGGAGATCTCTTAATTCTGTATAGGAACTGGCACAAGTCCTAGGCTTATACATGTAACAGAGCTAAAGAAACATAGCAGCAGCTTTGAGAACTAACCTACAATATAAACCACTATTCCAAATTCTAGAGTAAATGGTATATGTAGGAGGTAGACATAAACAGCTTTGAAAATGGAAGTGACATGGAACTCACAGATGGTAAGACAGAGCTTCTTATCTAAACCTAATTGAATTGATTGCCTTTTCATGCAAACAAAATCAGCACTCTCAAGAGTCTTTTAACAGGCCCATGAGTCTCACAACATAATCAAAATGCCCAGGATACAACCCCAAATTGCTAATCATACAAAGAACCAGGAAAAAGGCTCGACTCTCAAGGGAAAAGCCAATCAACAGATGACTACTCCAAGACGACCTAGCAGTTGAAATTATAAGACAGTGGCACTAAGACAGTTGGTCTCATACTCTGTGAGATAAACCTGAATACTTTTTGAAATGAATGGAAAAATAGAAATCCTCAGCATAGAAATAGGTATAAAAAATAACCAAATGGAAACTTTGGAACTGTGTAATACACTGTTCATTGGATAACCTTAATAGCAAAATGTAAATGATAGAAGAAAGAAGAGTTAGTGAACTCATAGAACAGTAGAAACTTTTTAACTTGAAGAATATATAGCAAAAATATTTGTTTAAAAATGGATAGGGCCTCAGAAACCCATGGGGTCAATATCAAAAGAGCTAAATTTGTTATTGAACTCTAATAAGAGAAAGAGATTGATATAGAAAAAATATTTGAAAAAATAATGGGTGAAAACTCCAAATCCAATGAAGGAAACAAGTGTATAGATTCCAGAAATCCAGTGAATCTCAGACAAGATATAGCCCCCCTAAAAAAACCATGCCTATAAGTGTCATAATGAAATTGCTGAAACAAAGATTTTTTTAAACTCGAAAGCAGAGAAAAATAATATACTACATAGAGGAACTGTGTTCGGAATGATAGATTTCTCATCAGAAACTATGGAGGATGGAAGACAATGGAGCAACATTTTAACATGCTGAAATAAAAGAACTATTAGCCAGGTTTGGTGGCTCAGCCTGTAATCCCGCACTTTGGGAGGCTGAGGTGAGTGGATTGCCTGAGCCTGCGGGTTCGAGACCCACCTGGGGCAACTTGGCGAGACCTCATCTCTACAATAAATCAAAAAATTAGCCAGGCGTGGTAGCGGGCGTCTGTAGTTTCCAGCTACTTGAAGACTGAGGAGGAAGGATCACCGGAGCCTAGCAGGTTGAGGCTGCGATGGCCAGGAGCATGCCACCGCACTCCAGTCTGGGCGACAGAGTGAGACTCTAACTCAAAAAAAATAATAATAAAATGAAAGAACTATCAACCTACAATTTTGTCTCCAGCAAAAATATCCCTCAGGAATGAAGGTGAAATAAAGACATTCTCAGATAAAGGAAAATAAATCATTTGCCAGAAGATCTGCTCTAGAATAAATGCTAAAAGTTTTTCAGTATGAAGAAAAAC